ACCAATCGTTGGTCACCGGCTACCATGGGACTGCATCTCCTCACGATGCTCCACTGCCTTGTGGGTCAGACGTTCAGATCGAAGGCTGGGGGTGTGGCCCCCTAAGAAAACTACCTGCTTCGGTTTGGGCACCCGAGCAGTATCACAGCCCTCACACAAATCAATTGGGATTCGTGTGGCGCATATGTACTTGGTGCCTCTCTGTACCTATACTTATGTGTTAAAATAAATAAATAATAATAAACTCTACAACTACGCTCCATTCCCAGACAGTGTGAATGGAACATTGAAGTAGGTCCCCCAATTCTAGCTGAAGTTCAAAAGGCTATAGTTAATCTGAAACGAGGAAGGGCAGCTGGTCCAGATGGATTGACTCCAGAGGTCTTTAAGGATGGTGGTCTAGTTTTAGCGATTAGGTTGACTAATATTTTAGCTAAAATCTGGGAGTTAGACGTTATCCCATCTAACTGGTCACAATCACTTATCGTCCCAATATTTATGAAAGGATCAAAATCATCCTGTGACAACCACAGAGGGATTAGTTTAACTAATATAATATCTAAAATACTAGCTTCGATAATTATCGGACGCCTAACTAAGACTCGTGAACTGCAAACACGTGAAAATCAGACTGGCTTCAGACCTGGTTGTGGCTGCATCGACCACATATTCACTATTTGTCAGGTTCTAGAACACAGGCATACTTATCGGCGTCCGACAATGGTGGTATTCCTCGACTTAAAAGCAGCGTTTGACTCTTTAGAACGAGAGGTTCTGTGGCAGTGTCTGTCATTGAAAGGCGTACCTCAGAAGTACATAAACCTTGTGAAGGCTCTTTATTCGAACACTACTAGTCGAGTCAGAGCTTACGGCGAACTGTCATCTGCTTTTGCGACCTCAAGTGGGATCCGTCAAGACTGTCCACTTTCTCCATTTTTGTTTAACTTCATCATAGATCTACTGATGGAAATAACGCTCTCATCGACGGAATTCTCGGGCATCGATCTCCTACCAAGAGGTCCACTTATCGACTTAGAATACGCAAATGACATAGTCCTGTTTGATGAAGACGCTGATAAAATGCAGTCTTTTGGTAGCACTGAGCAACAATGCCAGGATGTTTGGGATGCGCTTCTCTCTCTCTAAATGCAAGTTGTTGCTTCAGGACTGATCTGCGTCAACACCTGAACTAAGGATAGGGAGTGAAGTAGTCGAACGCGTTGACAACTTCACTTATCTTGGAAGGCTGATCAGCCCTTATGGGTAGGTGTCTGACGAAATCTCAGCACGGACTCGAAAAACTCGTTTGGCCTTTGCCAGCTTACGTCATCTATGGCAAAGGCAAGATATCCGTCCATCAATTAAGGGACGAGTATACTGCGCGGCAGTTCGTTCCGTTCTACCATACGGCTGTGAAACATGGCCTTTAAGAGTTGAAGATACTCGTAAGTTACTAGTATTTGACCACAAGTGCCTTAGAAATATTGCTCGCATCTGCTGGGATCACCGGGTAAGTAATAGTGAGGTTAGACGCAGGGTATTATGGAATGATGGTAAATCAGCTGATGAGGTTATGAAACTTCATCGACTGAGATGGTTGGGCCACGTGTTATGTATGCCTGAACACCGATTACCACGACGCGCAATGCTCACTGGTGTTAGGGATGATTGGAAGAAAGTTAGGGGCGGCCAAACCAAAACGTGGCATCAGTGCTTGAAGTCACTAACTTCTGGGCTAAGCCATGTTGGAAGATTCAGACTGCCTGGTTGGGGTCGGCGTGACTATCGTAACCAATGGTTGGAGACTCTAGGTGACATGGCTCAGAATCGATCACAATGGCGTCGGTGTATACACTCTCTGTCTTCCTTTAAACTAAGAGATTGAAATCGATTTATATCTTTCTTTCTACGAACTGATTCTTTCTTCCTGTATTATCTCCTTATACACAATCTTTCTTCTATATATTACCACCACTGAATGAACTACTTTTATGAATCCGGTGTTCATCTTTTTGTGCTAATGCGGTATGACAGCTTGGACCGATGCATATACGTGCCTGGTCCTACGTTGCAGCTGACTGACTGAACTGTTGCACGCAGGACATCCTGGAATAAGTCGCATGAAAGCATTAGCACGAAGTTATGTATACTGCCCGCATTTAGGCACCCAACTGGAGCAGCTATCTCGTTCATGTACCAAATGTGCATTAGCAACAAAAGCACCGCGAAAAGCACAGCTGCAATCATGTCCAATACCACAGTCACTGTGGCAGCGTATATACTTGAACTTTGCTGGTCCACTTCATGGACAAACTTACCTTTTGGTAGTTGATGCATATAGCAAGTGGTCAGAAATCTTTCTCATGGAACACCCGACTGACAGCTGCACAGTCAGTAAGCTACGTCAACTATTCAGTCGTTTCGGAGTGCCGGAATCGATAGTTAGTGACAACAGAACACAGTTTACGTCCGTAATCTTCTCACAATTTTGTCGGGAGAACGGAATCCATCACGTCCGAACCATCCATTCCATCCCCAATCAAATGATCAAGTGGAACGCTTTGTGAGTACATTTAAAAATGCTCTAAAAAACCCAAAGGGGAGGGGACCACCGGAGAGATCGCTCTACACCGAACCCTCAGACGATTAACGGGGTCTCTCCAGCAGAAGCTCTACTTGGCAGAAAAATACGAACAAATTTCGATGTCATCCGTCCTACGTCAGCACTCGAGCCTCAACGAAACCTATCGATGGGGAATCAGTTCAATCGACATCATGGGGCAAAAAGTACTTGCTGTGGACTATCGTGACAAATATCCTACATGGACAGCTGGTCTGGTCTTGAAAAAGAAGAGGAGTGTGGTTTATGAGGTGTCAGTTGGCTCAGAAGTTTGAGTACGTCATGCTAACCAATTGAAAGCAACTTCGATAGCCAGCAACGAGATTCAATATCGATTACCTCTTGATGTTCTGCTTGACACCTTTGAAATCAAAACGCCTGGAACAGACAGGTCAGTTTCTGTGCAAGCAAAGAGTAATATTTCTTTATTGCCTAGACGATGGACAAATCGAAAGCACAGGCCAGTCACTCGGTTGCAGTTGGACCCTAGCACCAGATCCTACGAATCTGCTCAGAGGAGAGGTGTTAGCGGGACATAGATTAGATTAAAGCATGCTCAATGCACGATTGCTTTGGCGCACGCCGATTGGCTAATTCTTGTCCAATTAGCACTAGTCGATACTTGGAGAATACTCTAGAAATATTCTCATGTAAAAACTATGAATATACTTACGATTTTCCTATTGTGCTTCTCACTTCCATCTAACCTTGTTATTTGGAATATAATCTCTTTCTTGTTCAACCGTGTTCTGATTTGGGGACTTGTCGAATGAATTGGTGTCCGTGATTACTAAGCAATAGGAATAGCTGGGTTATAACCGTTAGAGAGAAATATAACATAGTTTGCATTTATTTTGTTAATTTTCACAGTCTGTACATTTACCACAAAATGATTGTACATGTTGTCTAAGTGTTATGACCTTGAACACACACTTTGCCGTTCTGTATTACTCATATCATGACACACACTGTTAACTGCTAGTAAATACACTACTATACGCATGCCTCTCGTTCTCTATTACTTTTAGTAATGATAACTGAACTCTAAATCATCTACTATCTATATTTATAGACTGCAGTCACATTTACATTATATTCTACGTTTGGCTATATTACTGGAACCATAACAATCCCATTGGAATTATTAATTATCTATAATTGTGGATTCTGGTACCAAACACAACTCGAACACGCCCAAGTTTGCTGATTTAAGTAACGTCCCTAAATTTTTATTTATGCTCCAATATAGCAATTAGAATAATTCAAGGCTCACCAGATAATTGTGATGGACCAAAAAATATCAACTCAAAAATAGTAATAAAGTTTTTACGTATAAACGGTAATGTTATAATATATCAGTTATAAATTATTAAAAACACAAATAAAAATTTAGTAACGTTACTAGCAGTTAACAGCGTGTGTCATGATATGAGTAATACAGAACGGCAAAGTGTGTGTTCAAGGTCATAACACTTAGACAACATGTACAATCATTTTGTGGTAAATGTACAGACTGTGAAAATTAACAAAATAAATGCAAATAATATCAAAAACTATTTACAAAATAAGTTTGTCATGCCTATTTCTACAATACTACTTTGGGTTCAAGAGTTAACTATAAAGACTTGCTGTTCAACGCAGCGTTTGAAACTTGAAAGCCACAATATATAGTTACAAGTGATATTTTGTAGGATGAAAATCTGAGAATGATTACTTCAACAGCGAAAAAGATTAAAGCATGAAGAGAGTCAACGAAGTGCAGGATAAATTATTACTCCATTAAAAATGTGTGAAAAATCGATAGATCCCAGTTACTCCTAAAGTTCCTGGGTTTAAATTTTAAAATACTTAAAAAAAAGAAATAGATGACTCACAAATTGATATCATAAGTGAATTTTATTTATAACCAAATACACGTAGCTATTTTGAATATAACACCGGCTGAAAGGTTTCGTTTGTTTCTTAAGTAACATTACTAGTGGCATAAGAAATTCCACAGGTTAAACTTTTCAAGTCAACCTATAAGTTCAGTATATTTGAGGATGTTAGTCACTAGAGCAGAATGCTCTACTGTCTTCTCTGTTCTACCCGTTAAAGTAACTCATCCAAATTTCACCAAGAAATAAAAGTATGATTCCATCCAGGTAATCGTGACATATTACCATATTCTAAATTTACATTACTGTACACTTCCACTAATTACATACTGTGTTGAGATCAGCAAGTAATGTTCTTTGTAAATCACCTCTATATCCTCAAACGTCCTAGACCAATAATACAACAGCAAGAAACATCTCTGATAATATTTACTTATTCTTTAGTTAATTATTTCCTATAACCTGGCTTTGATAAACTTATAACTCCCTAACAATTTTTCTAGATTATTGGACTGCCGCTAAATAATTGATAAATTTCAGGATGAATCAAATACTTTTTCGGAATTTATTTGGAATTTATTCTCTTAAAAATATATTTAACAAAACGTCAACCACGAAAATTCTCTCTGCTCATCATAGCTTGTGTAGAACATATTCTCATGCAGTACCGAAAATTGATAATGATAAATTACCAGACGGACAAATCCGGTATTCAACGCACAAAAAATGGCATGCTGTAATGAATTATGTCCCGAAGCCGAGAGATATACCAGATTATCAATATCCAATTGTAATTATATGTTGTTTCATAACTGGAATATATTTTGGCTTCATCCATACAAGATGTGATCTAGATGATATATTAGATGGGAACTTTGCAGAATTTGAGAAAATGAAATTCGGCAAGAAATAGTTGTACAAAGAACCTAACATTATCAGTCTCTGTAGTCCCACATTTACTGTCATTTTCGAAAAATATGGACAAAATCGATTTATTTCACTACTTTTTAAAGTTTCACTATATCCCTTTTGTGTCACATTCGTTAGATAGCTGAGACTTTCCCAATCTTATCGAACATCAACTCTATAGCACGCAATTTGTAAACAGTCCGTTTTTTGAGTGAAGAAAGGTTAACTTTGGTGAAAAGAACTACCCAATAGGATGATTGTGTAATTGAGATTCCCAATAAAATTTAAACATTACTATCCTAAACACCGACGTAAATTAACGAGTTAATTTCCCAAATATGATGGTCGGGCTTGTCTATCGTCATAACTCAACCAAGGTATATTGTCTGGAATAGATGTTCCTTTAGGTCCCAGCCAGGTCTCTTGGAGAACGGTAAGACTGAAAGCAGCAACTTAAAGCCCGGAGGCGAAGTCGTACCGCTGACTGTGATGGTGTGTGATATCAGTAATGTGTTTCCATTAAACAACCGGCATCTGTAGCAATGCTGTCTTCTCACAACGGAAGAAAATCAAAATCAGTAAACTTTAGCGGCGTTTACAGAACTGATAGATGCTTGGAAATTCATCCCGTCTGGCTCTTAATACGATAAGGGGTGGAGGCAGCTTAAACGTAGATTGGGGAGTAGAGAAAGCAGAAACGATAGAAAAGGCAGTACCGGTAGGAAACAGTAGGCAACTGTTCCAACTTATCAATGAAACGGGTATTAGAAATCCGACTGTTAGTAAAACTATCTCTGATAAAGACGAAACTACTATTTACTCTCAATCTAGGAGGCTGAATCAAGGGGCTAAACACTAGAAAACGGTTCAACTGACCTTCAGCCATAGTCACCCACTATCTCCAAGCAACCTGAATAAGAAATTGATGAAAGTCCTCCAACTCTTAGTGAAGTTGGAAAGGCTATAAAAGCTATCTAAAGCGAGGTAGAGCAGTAGTGCCGACGGACTAGCTTCTGGGATCTCTAAGGATGGGGGTCTAGATTTGAAAGTTAGATTAACTGAAGCCTGGGAAACTGATGTAATCCCGTCTGACTGGTCTCATTCGCTGACCGTCCTAGTTTATAGGAAAGGACAGGAATCCTCTTATGACAATTACAGAGGAATCGGTCTTACTAATACAGTGTCCGAAATATTAGCCTCAATAATACTTCGACATCTAACTAGAGCTTATGAAGAGCAAACCCGAAAGAACCAGGTTGATATAGACTAAATATTCACCCTTCGGCAGACTGTGGGACATAGGCCTACTTTTCGACGTCCGACTACAGTTGTATACCTTGACCTTAAGCCGGAGTTCGACCCCGTTGATCGCGGGGTCCTATAGCAGCATCTGTCATGGAAAAGCGTACCAGGGAAATACACCAACCTTGTACCGTCTCTACTCAAACACTACTGGTCGAGTTAGTGCTTATGGCGAACTGTTATCGGAATTCGTTACTTCAGATAATGTTCGTCGAGGTTGTCGGTCTTCCCTCTTTTATTTAACTTTGTAATAGACACGATCTTAGAGATAACACTTTCATCGTCCGAATTTTCAGGGATCGATCTTCTACCAGGACACTCGCTTGTTGGTTTATGATGCGTAGACTACATAATTCTTTCTGAAGACACTGAAAAATGCAGTCTTATGACCACCTCAAGAAACAATGCAAGCATGTCTGGTACGTTGTTCTCTGTCCAAATGTGAAATATTACTTCAAGATTGGTTTGCGTCATCGTCTGAATTACTGATAGGGAGTCAAGTGGTTGAACGCATCAATCGCTCCATTTATTTTGGGAGTCTCATCAGTACTAATGCTTTGGTGTCTGAAGAAATTTCGGCTTGGATTCTGAAAGCTCAATTGGCTTTCGCAAACTTGCATAGGCGAAGTGAGAGTTTAGTACTCAGCAGTTAGCTCCGTTTTACGTTATGGATGTGAAACATGCCTAGTAAGAGTAAAGGATATTCGTACGTTACTGGTATCCGATCATAAGTGCCTACGAGGAATTGCTCGTGTATTTTGGGACCATCGAGTAGGCAATGTATGTTAGGAACAGTACTGAGTAAAGATCGATAGTCAGTTTTCGAGCTAGTAAATATTTATCAACTTCCGTAGAAAACTAACTCGCTAAAAACACTGACTAGAAAGAATTATTTAAACTCTGTCCTGGGAGTCAGGTCTTCATTTAAAAGAGTTATGACGTCTCATGATGAAAGTCACGAGGCTGGTGGCTCTTCTGACAACAAGTGCAACCATTAATTTAGGTACATGGAATGTTCGTACAACGTGCGAGACCGGGAGAGTTATCCAAGTTGCTGCAGAAACAAAGATACAACCTAGAGGTGCTTGGAACCAGTGAAACATATTGGACGCAGGTTGAACAACAAAGACTAGCTTCAGGGGAGCTGCTGTTATACTTTGGCCATGGGGAAGAAAATGCCACACACACAAAAAGCACTTATAGGGTGGAAATCTCATAGACCCAGGATCGTCAAACCCTTCTTCAAAACAAAGAAAGAGGGCATTACAATGAACGTCATTCAATGCTATGCGCTTACCGACGATTACAATGAAGACATTAAAGATCAATTCTACGATAGGCTGCAGTCAAACTGGTCATAAATGGCACCATACTCCCACATAAACGCATACACCAATTCACATGGATTTCACCGTGTCACTATACTAAAACAAACCGACCATACCTGGATCAACAAAAAGTTCAGGAGGACGTGAGAACCAAGGGATGAGCTGATATAAACTCACTTACTGGTCGCAAAGATGAAACTGAAACTCAAGAAGCACTGAACAACGGGGCGGACTGTTGTATCCCGATAAGAATATTGAATGGTAATTCTTGGGATCCAATTATGGACCGATATTATGAGTATATTTTTACCGTATAATTGTCACGTAACTAGTCTGTTCATATCCATGTCCCTCTTATTATGAGTTTTATTTCGACCTATGAACTATCATTGTACGATTTACCATTCTTGAGTTATGCCCTATCTATTGATTCCTATCTCCCTCATTCACAGCCACATCTGGCTAATTATTGTACGAATGTTGTTTCATATTTTATTGGTATGTTGTGGTCTGTTTGATCGGTATATAAACCGAGTGTGTTTGAAATATAATGATTCATATCTCCGAGGCTGAGACTTGTGTTCTGGACTCAATTGGCTGGGCTAGACAGGGAAGCAGGACCAATCAGAGCTCTAGGCTGCTCGCTCGTGTTTTATGCGTCACTGTTTCGATCGATAATAGGCTGCTTTCTAATAGGCGGATCACACGTTATAACACGGACACCATCACAAAAGTTTAATACGGCCTTTCTTCGAGATGCTTACAAACCCAACGAATTCAGAATAGCCCTCAGCAATAGGATCCATGCCTTCCACGATCTACTCAATCGAGATGGGACTAGCATGGAGAACAGCTGGAAGGAATAAAAGAGGCAATCACTTCAACATGTTATTCGGTTCTAGGCCACAATAAGCACCATCACAGGCAATGGGTCACTTTTGATACACTGGGTAAGATTCAAGAAAAAAGGCAGCAATCAATATCAGCCGAACAAGAATAGAAAAAGCCAAGACACAAGCTGAATACACAGAAGTAAACAAGCAGGTGAAGAGGAGCATCAGAACTGACAAACGTAAATATGTGTAAGATTTAGTAATGACGGCGCAAAAGAAGGAAACAATTGTATGATACAAAGAAACTCGCCGGAAATTATTGTAAACTAGAACGACAAGTGAAAAGCAAGGAAGGCAGTTGAGAGAATGAAGGTGATGGTCAACATTCACCAAACCTGCTGAACTCATACAATATGAATGCCCCCAAATGCCCTATTATGGCCGAGAGCGGGGAGGGTTCGCCCTCCCTCTCGAAATACTCCCACATGGCCACGCGTATACAGCCTCTGCCAGGGAAGTCCTACTCACTGCCTTCTCGTGGCGGGGGTGTTGTTTACGAAAATGAGAGGACGAAAAGCGAGTGTCCGGCGCTTTAACCGGATCCCAAATCAATGGTGCACATGGGCTCCAGTATCCTGAAGGAACAAATGGCGTATGAACCAATCGTTGGTCACCGGCTTCCATGGGACTGCATCTCCTCACGATGCTCCACTGCCTTGTGGACTAGACCTTTAGGTCAAAGGCTCGGAGTGTGGCCCCCTAAGAAAACCACCTGCTTCGGTTTGGGCACCCGGGCAGTATCTCAGCCCACACACTAAAACCATGATGAACTATCTGCTTATGGAAAATATTCGTTTCTCTCCGACTAACATTGAAATGACTCGCACTATTATTATTATTATTTACGACGTCATTTATTCACCCTCTCTTATTCCTACTTTATGTATCCATTTCGACCTAGACAGCAGCTCACCTATGGTGAAAATTCAGCTTTATCTAAACGTACTCAAGTCACTGCCTGGTTGAAAATTGTATGTTACCACCGAATACGAGTACTGAAGCAGTTTTTCTTAAACCACGTGCACCATTCAAACTGGCTACCTTCAACGTTCGCACACTTTTGCAGGTCGGACAACAGATAGGGCTGGCTATGTCTTTGGAAAGTCTTAATATTGATGTGTGTTGTCTATCCGAGACCCGTATTCAAGACTCCATGAAGTACTACAAGTTCGCTCACCATCTGTCACTTCAAAAAGCTTGTTTTATGTGCGTTTATCCGGGGACCCTGTGGCATCTTCGTCTGGTCTTGCTGGCGTTGGTGTCGCACTAAGCGCAAGAGCTGAGGCAGCACTAGTCGACTGGATCCCCATTAACAGTCGGTTATGTGCTGTTAGATTAGAAAGTTCCATCAAAGTGAGAAGAAATCGGCGTGAGAAACGATGCCTTTTCGTCATCTCCGCCTATGCCCCGACAGATTGCAGCCCGGATGCAATCAAGGACGAGTTCTACCACCAGTTAACTGTTCTTCTCCAGAAACTGCGGTCGACAGATATTGTAGTACTAGCCGGAGACTTGAATGCTCAGGTCGGGCGTCTAGACACGGAAGAGAGTCGTTTAGGTGGCCGATAGGGACTTGTTGGTCGCAGGACAGATAACGAAGACTGTCTACTGCAGTTGTGCACAGACCACAACTTGTTTCTGGCTAGCACTAACTTTCGGCACAGTCATCGCCGATGTGCCACCTGGGTCGTCCCTCTGCATCTCAATCCTGGACTCAGATTGATCACATCGCGATCAGCTACCACTGGCGCGGTTGTGTACAAGACTGCCGCTCCTTTTGGAGTACCTATCTGGAATCTGATCATGCTCTGGTCTGCGCCAATCTTACCTTACTTTTCAGTGGACAACGAAGTGACCACGATCAATGGATTGATGTCAGCGAGTTGGTTGCAACTTCTGTTGCTAGTAAGTATCGAACCGAGCTAGCTTCTAGGCTAGCTACCATTCCACCGAAAAGTATAGATGAGCATTGGTTGCGATTGCATGACGCCATGAAAATGGCGGGTCAAGTCCTTTGGGTTCGCGAAACGTCCCGCTTATAAGCACTGGGTTTCTTCTGGTTCCTTACAACTCATTGAAGCCCGTCGGTCTACTCCGGGCGACCGTGAGTTTGACCACAGACGAAGAATGTTGCGTAATGAAATCGAGCAAAGCTTGCGTAAGGACCGAGAAGCCTGGTGGTCGGGGCGTGCTAATGAGCTGGAAGCAGCAGCTGCATCTGGTAATTACTGGAAGCTCTTCCAACTCATCCGAGCCACTGGCAGCAAGAAGTCTGGTGTGAGCGAAACAATCTGCGAGGATGACAGAACGCCAATCACTAACATCCATCGACGTCTTGGACGATGGGCAGAATTCTTTGAAGGGCGGTTCAACTGGCCTGCTGCTCCGGCAACATCGGTCAGACTGTCCTGCCCTCCATGGCCGGTGACGACTGATCCACCAAATGAGGCGGAAGTCCGCAAGGAACTCCAACTCTTGAAACGTTACAAATCACCGGGCCCAGACGACTTACCTCCGGCTCTTTTTAAAGATGGTGGTGACTTTCTGACTAAGGGACTGACGACGTTGTTTACAAAGATCTGGGAACTAGAGAGTGTACCAACGTCATGGAATGAGTCGATAGTTGTCCCTATCATTAAAAAGGGTTCACGTTGTTCCTGTAACAACTATCGGGGGATAAGTCTACTTCCGATTGCGTCCAAGCTATATGCTTCCGTCATACTTCGTAGGTTGTTCAGAACTCGAGAAGGATTGACTCGCGAGGAGCAGGCTGGGTTTCGTTCTGGTCGAGGATGTATTGATCATATCTTCACCCTCCGCCAAGTGTTAGAACACCGCCATACTTATCAAAGGCCAACAATCGTAGTGTTTCTTGATATCAGGGCTGCCTTCGATTCGTTGGACAGAACTGTTCTCTGGAATTGTCTATTGAAGAAGGGTGTGCCTGAGAAGTTTATTAACATCCTAAAAGCCCTATACACAAACACCTCAGGCAGAGTCAGGGCATACAACCACCTTTCTCCACTATTCCATTCAAGCAGTGGAGTTAGGCAGGGTTGCCCAATCTCACCATTCCTCTTTAACTTTGCCATCGATGACATTCTGGAAACAGCTCTGATGGATGTAAGTAATGGTGGTGTGGATCTGTTGCCTGGAGAAAGACTTCTCGACCTTGAGTATGCGGATGATATTGTCTTACTGTGCGAGAATGCCCGAGTCATGCAATCCGCACTTAATCAGTTGGCAATCAGTGTCCGTAGGTATGGTATGTGCTTTGCACCTTCGAAGTGCAAAGTTCTTCTACAAGACTGGCAGGATTCTAATCCTGTACTCACTCTGGATGGCTAAGAATAGAAGCCAGTGGCGATCGTGCTGCAACCTCTTACTTTCTTCATAAAAAGTGGTTGTATCTTCCTTAATTGAAAGATCTCTTCTGATTGTACCCTTCCGTTTCCCCCACCATTGTTCTCTCTCTCTCCCTTTTTTTTAATTCCCCACGTTCACTACTTTTTTTTTCTCTTTTCTCCTTCTCTTCAAATTATCATTGTTTTGTGTGGCGCATATATATTTGGTGCCCCCCTGTACCAGTATTTATGTGTTCAAATAAAAATAAATAAATAATAAATACACACAGGTTCTACGTTGTAATTGACAAACCGAAAAAATTAATTCCATCACCTTATGTAGAAAAGTTGTTAGTTCTCATAAGCTAGTTATTTTAAATCAAGAGCTGATCTTAGACCACAAGTGAGAACCTGGGGTCACTGGACAACCGCTTTGTTCTACTATGGGACTTTTCAGTAGTGTGCACCCACAACCACGCATCTGGGAATGATACCTAGAACCTCCGATTCTGCGCGCGAACGCTTCGTTTTAAGAATACTGGGCCAACATCTAAGTGTTAGCATCATGATCTTCCCAAACCCTTATCTACTGCATGAAGTGGACAATTATCTCACACCCGAAAGAGCTGGACTCGACTGTTTCTTGCCCAAACCCCAGGAGTTGCGCTTTAAAGCTACTCACTAGTATGCGCATGATTATTATCAGTATATGGTTTAGTCTTCCAAATATCTAAAGATTCTCTTCTTGACTACTGACATTTACCACACAGCAACCAATTTTTCATACAAAAATCAAGTGTATATTATATCAGAATTTATTTATTTGAACACATAAATATTGGTACAAGAGGGCACCAAATATAAATGCATCACACAAATTTTCATTTTATTTGTGTGTGGGCTGTTGTTTTCTTAGGGGGCCACACCCCGAGCCTTTGACCTAAATGTCTAGTACAGAAGGCAGTGGAGCATCGTAAGGAGATGCAGTCCCATGGAAGCCGGTGACCAAGAAATTGGTTCATACGCCATTTGTTCCTTCAGGATACTGGAGTTCATGTGCACCATTGGTTTGGGATCCGGTAATAGCGCCGGACATTCACTTTTCGTCCTCTCATTTTCGTAAACATCCCCGCCACGAGAAGGCAGTGAGTAAGACTTCCCTTGCAGAGGCTGTGTACGCGTGAGAACATTTCGAGAGGGAGGGCGGTCCCGGCCCACTCTCGGCCATACCAGAATAACACAGTATATACATTACGATTAGGGGACAAACAACCCACTAAAGGATACTATTTGACATTAAGATTAGAATTTACATAGCAAAAAAGTATAATTTATTATTATTGATGAAACTATTTAATTTTACGGAGAAATTTTCCAGAATTTTCACCTAGAACACGTGCTTCACCACTGATATACGATTGGTTTTGTTTTTTTTTCCCCTCATAATATATTCCAAGTCGACGTAACAATCGAATTGATAAATTTGGAATAACCGGTTGTAGAAGTAATGCACATATTCTTAATGATTCAGATACTACTGATAATATAAATTGCTTTTTTAATAATTCTTTTTCGGTCCATGGACTGTGACGAGTGATAAATGTATTGGCTTGTCGAATAATGCGCAAAACTTCCTCTATAGCCCTATGAGGTTGAGCTTCATACCACCAAAGTTTGTCAAAATGATGAGAGATATTATCTAGACTGAAATATAAATGATTCGAAAATTTAGTTTGTTATTATTTGATAAAATTAATTTGTTTCATGATGGAAAAATGCTTTATTCAACAACAATAAATTTTGAATTTACATTTTATGATTACTGGTATTTATTGGGTGATCTTCAAACACAAAGGAGTGTTGGAATTTAAGCTCATAATAAAAAAGCTGGAAAAAAGACTTCATTGGTTGGTTGACAACGCTTTTACATAGATCAATGTATTACTTTGGTCCCCCTTAACAAAAGAAATCTAACCAGGCTTGCTGTGTGCATTATATAGAATAGGAGGGCAACACGGTTACTCATATGAAATAGGCACACTTAACTCGGTCGTATCTAAACAAGTAGTTTAGCTCATACTAAAAATAACGCTTAAAATAGTATATATATATATATATATATATATATATATATATATATATATATCTGTATATTGCCGAAATTCCTGGTATAAACGAGATCCCGGTTTGAGTCTACAACCTTTTCGGTGATCAAAAACGTCTAACATCTCGTAACGACAGTAAATAATCACAATTTATAATTGTGGCTTCTTCATGGGATAACTTTAAAAAAGCTCTTCTTTAAGATCAATAAAGGTATGATGAAGGAACGCGTTCAAAAAAACCGACAAATTTTTGGTCAGTTGTTAGCGAATTAGGAAAAAACTTTTATAAATGAATAGTCTATAAAAAAAGATTAATATTATTGCAAACGTGAACAGATTTTACTTAATTAATAGATCTATTGTTCTGTCTGTTAATCAATAGACCAGCGACAATGTAAAGTCGTCCATATGGATATAGATTATCCATCTTTTCGAATCTTCATAAGAAGGTTAAATAGATTTTCAGAAGTTCTCTACATTGTTTCTGATTACGGTTAAGAATTTATTATTACATGTTTCGGTCAGTATTTAGAGGTAGGCTTGATCTATGTGTTATATACAATCTACAAGGGGAAAATTGAGCATTGAACACTATTGCTTTGAGAAAACAAAGTAACCTTTCGTTACCATTAAACTTTCTCATGACCATACAAAGGAATCCCTACTAATCGTCCTACGTGATATTTAACCTAGAAATTGTTTTTATTGATTTTATTTAGTCGTCCCCATATACTATACTGATTAAATTTACTTATTAAACGATTATTAGCGGTCAGTGACTTTCGAATTTTGCACAATAAAACCTAAAAATCGTCTCCTTGAAACTGATTCATTCGACTGTATAAAGTAGATGTAACAGAAGAGAATGAAACTGTAATACATTTTATCAATGAGAAAATAAATTACATAAACTAACTTGTCAAAAAATTCCATATCCGAATTATCATCGTGAAACATATCATCAACCTGTTTACGATTAATCTGAATGATAGACTGTTCAGGGTTAAGAGATTCAGATGTGATACTACAAAAAAGTGAAGATATAAATAAACTCTCATTGAATAAGTGAAAGAAAGAATTAATGGCATCTCTGTTGAAATATATTCTATGAGATTATTAAATAAAAAATAGGATTGTATATATCTCTACATTGTGAAGGCAAAAAATGCGGTACAAAGTTTCCAACCACTTAGCGGCTGGGTGGTTAAATGATTTTCTTGCACCAACCGAAAACTGTGGTGCATCACATAATATCTAACAGGGATCACACACATGTATCGTGTGCATCACCCAGATTTATTTGACACAAGGATAAACTGCGACAGAAAGTTTTAGAACTTCACAATATAAGTTATTTTAGGCCCTTCATACATAGGCGCATTCATTCATGGGGATAATGATAAGTTAAAGAAAACTAAAACCTTGTCAGCGATTGACAATTTCGTAAAAAGAAATTTTCTAAAAAATACACAGCCGGAAATAATCAATGTACTATTTGATATCTTAGTGCATCGGTATATCGTTTTCCACCATTCAGTATCACCATGACAAAAATTTATGTAGATAAGTAAATGAGTTGAATAATGGTATCAATAGTACTTAGAACTAAGTACATACGAAATACAGTTCAGCAGGAATAAACGAATGGGTTTGTCACTGTTGTCAACTTTCAGCTTTGTTACCTAGTCTTGAATTATAGATTAAAACCACTTCATCAAAATCCGGACCAAGACTTTACTTCCTAAAAGACGGGACACATCAACAGTCAACAACTTCATGGACTCTCATTGAGATCGCGAACCGATCTAGGTTAGACAACCATTCATAACCTGAAAGCACTAGACTAACAAAGTAGTGCCCTGGTGTCCTACATCTGTCTTTTTTCTAACTTATCCTTAGTATATTAGCCAACAGACCAAGCCGGAAACGTTGTTATGTTTAGAAATAGCTTACGCTAATTACCAACGAACGAGACTTCCTTTTTGTACGAAACGGGATCTACGCAAAGTTGATGGATCGGATGGCGGTAGTGCACTACAACACTGACGCTAATAATTCACAAAGGAATTCGAGAGCGAGTGAGAAAATGGAAATTTTTAGAGAGCTTTAATATTCCCAACGAAATCCAAATTGAAATAGCAATAAAAATGGATTTAATACACACAAAAAAAATAGTCAATTAATTTAAGGTCTTCCTATTAGGTATATATACAAGTAATATGTTATATGCACTAAATAAAATAAACACAGTTATTATAAATCTGCGAGGGTTAGTTGTTAGCTTGTAGTTCAAATCATGGATGCCTTCTTTAACTTAATTATTGAAAATGAATAGGGGCATCGAATGTTTGTTGCACCCTAATATAGAATATCCTAATAGTCTGCACCCACAACTTCGTACGAGATGGAAACCGAAGCCTCCGTGTCTTGAAACAAGTGCCCTGCCACTAAATTGGTATACATTTATTAATGGTCTATATTTCCAATCTTGCGATATTGTACGATCACTTTCTATTCCCATTCGGTGGTAACCTGCCTTATGCCTGGTCGTATTAGAAACTTAGTGGCACTTCTCAAAGGTAGTCACAATAATGACCATATATAATTGAATGGAATAACCATAATTTCTTACCAGTGTTTAGGTTAAGGTCAGTTTGTGATATAAACTGCAAATGATATTGTTAATTTGTGCCCTATTAATAGATGACGTAATGATACTGCTAATTAGAGAACAGTGATTTATCGACCGGACCAATCATGTGTAAAACCGTGCGAGCAGTTTAGAATCCTTATTGGTGCTTCTTACTGCCTAGCCCTGTCTGTTAAGTCCAGAACACCAATCTCAGCCTCTGCAATATGAATCATGTATTTCAAACATACTGGGTTTATATACAAACCAAACAGACCACATCGTACTATAAAATAGGAAACAATATTTGTAAAAGATCTAGCCAAAAAGGGTTGTGAATGTTGGAGACGGTATTTAACAGACTGGGTAGAACTCAAGAATGGTAAATCGTATAATAATAGTCTATAGGTCAAAATAAAGCTTTTATTAAGAGGAACATGAATACGTATAGTTTAGCTACTTAATGATTATACAATAAAAATATGTATCGTACTGGTCCATAAATAATTCTCAAAAGTTATCATTCATAATTCTCATCAGGATATAACAGGTATAGAATATAATTTTATGGATTTATTTCTGAATAGGTCATATACTTGGTCTATATAACTGCTGAAATCAAAACCAACATACCATTGTTATGATTAACAAGAATGTATTAATGTTCGTATACGCTGAGTAAAATAAATGCTATATAATTATTAAAAATGGAGAATAAAGTTTGAGAATTGTTCACCCAACACTATATACATATAACCACTGAATGTTTCAAGCTACTCGACATGGTTATTTGTTGAAATCAATAAATAAATAATGATCACTCACCGAGAAAGCAAATTTCCAATCCAATTAACAAGCTCTGTATTAATCATTTTACGAGCCATTTCACGACTATAAGTACCATCAGATGTAAGCAAAGGAAGGCGAAGCAAAACATAACGAAGAAGATCTGATTCAGCAGGTGTTGTAACATTGTTGTTTAATTCGTCCGACAGTAAAGCAGACTGTTCAACAATCGGATCGATCTGATTACCTCTACTTTTAGACATCTATATTACCAATCAAACACGCAGAAAATAGATGAAAGACAAATTCCACTTGTAAAATGACGGTGTGAAGTTGTTAATAGTTTGTGCAAATGTTATCATTACAAGAGATAATTGAAAACAAAGTATACGCATACACTTAATTCAAGCATAGTTTTGTTTCGGAATAAACACATTTACGAGTCAAGAAAAAAACAAATGAGTGTCGGTCTATCTAGTGGACAAAAATGAGCCATTTTTAAAAAGATTTGTTCTGAATGATGAAGCTAGCTAAATCAAGGATTCAAAAACAGCATTGAAAGATGGTTGTGCTACGTGACATGATGAGTGGACTGAGGTTAGAGATTACTAAACAAAACAACATAGAAGTAGGTATGATTACCAAGATTTGATTTGATAATTTCGAATAAATTGAGCATTGGGTAGACTGTTAAAAATAAATAATATATTTGTAACATAGAAATCAATTATATCGGCCGGAGTTGTTACAACACTAGAAAAATTTCATACAGTTAGTTCCCTTTATGAATTTAAATAAAGCAAGAACAAATATTGATGCAGAATAGTATGAATTCATAATATTTCGAGGTTTCTCGTCAGCGGCTTACAACCAAATATGTGATAAAAGATAGGTTACGTAATAATTGAATAGAATTTGAAAGGTTAACATAATTTAAGAGGATTAGTGGGCGGAAATGTGTGAATGAAAATTACCAGAAATAACATTAGTAATTATGAAACTATATTTGACAAAGAATGATATGAGTGAAAGTTAGTCATATTACACCACTCTTTCCCATCTAAAACTAAGAAAATCTGCTCTTCCCTACATAAATAACACTTAGAGACTTTATCCAGTGGTATCAGATCATCTGCATACCTTAAATTGAGTTATATGTTCCCAAAAATTCCTTAGTCAGTTAAAGTTTTCAAACTTGGTTTGCCGTAACCACGAACCGTCGCATCTGCTATGTTTAAAGAAATTATAAGTTCACCTGATCTGAGAACGGAACGAAGATTCTATGAAACAACGATAGATAAGCTAGATATTCCCACGCATCCCAGCCCCGCCAACTAGAGAGAGAAGTCCTAGTTCGGAAGAGGGAAATATATTACACAAACACGAACAATCACAAGTGTAGTCGGAAATACGCTCATTTATATATTGATTCATACACCCATTTGTTGATTAATAATTAAAATAAAATCACATATATGGAAAAGATTTAGTTATAGAAAATCATTTGCTGAGTATAGTTCATGTTAACTTAGTACAAGAGTATTGTATGTTATGCAGAATAAAATGTCATACGGGAAAACAAATACTATACTGAGTAATCATCACATTGAATTAAAACGGGATTAATGTTGAACAAAAATCATAATGCGTAAATCAATTTAATTCTGACTTTTCATCCCGTCATATCACCTCCCTTTTTTTGAAGACTCGAAGTTTAGGTCCTGACTTCAAATTTTCTGACTTTCTCCTCCCCCACGAAATAATGTTGGGTCAGGCTTTCTAGTACTTCTACAGCTATTTTTTGATAAAATCCATCTTTATGGCCCACAGCTTTACACTTCCTGCAACGGTGTTGTTTATAAGGACAGCTTCGAACGCAATACCATGCATCACAGTGCATGGAGTAGGATTTGTTTTCGCCTGTTGGACTGGACTAGGTGTAGCTGGGGCAGATTTAGACGGGTTAGGTGGTTGTTGGATTACATATATTTCAGTACGATCAGAACCACCACTCTGGATTAACGTAGTGTCACGCTGCAGATTCATTAGACGTTGATATTCATTTGCAATATCATTGAGTGTCAGTTTTGGGTTTGGGTTTAATCGACTAAGCAGCCGTGTTCTGATGTCACTAAACTTCTGCGATTGGAGACTGTAGATGAGAACGAGGGTTTTGAACTGGTCTTCAGTCAGTGACTTCAACCGGAAGCGTTCGCATTTGCGGTTGACGATGCCCACATGTGTCAGGAAATCGGTGTATTCGTATTATTTTAGAAAAACCGATCAAAGTATTGAAATTTCTGATTGGCTTAAGCTAGACTGTACTTACGAACGACTGAAAATTCTGCTGATACAGTACACAATATAAAGGAATTTAACTAGACCAAATGTCTATCATGCATCAACACTTCAACGTTAATAGTTCACACACTAATAGATATAGAGAAAACGGGACTTTTATAATATATTTATATTACGTACAGAAGTCAAGGATTCGAAAAGAAACAACTTTGTTTTATGTAGTAACATCAAGGTACATAACATAGCAAGCTACACGTAATGACATCCAATCGCAGCGACAGAAAATGTTACTGTCAAAAATATGAATTAAGGGGAAAATGTTATCGACGTTATTTTGAAATGAATCGACTAGTAATCAAATAACAGTTATTGTGTAGCACTATTATTCATCATTATCCAACTAGTAGTTGTGGATGTATATTTGATTAGGAATGACATAAGTGAAAATAATTTATGCCATACTTAAGATTTAAAATAACTCTTTCCTACATCTCTTCCAGGTTACAACCAACCAGTCTATGTCTTTTCTTGAATAACTCCGACTAATTACTTAGCAACTTTATCCATTACTGGTGTCATGTCGTCTGTACACTCCTTAACTAAGTAATACGTTCCTATAACAGTTCAGTCGGATTAAGTTCATAAACTTGATTAATAATAACCCTTCACTAAAATTCAATATTATATAATTCTATTATGCATAAACCATCAATTTAACACACTTTGGTATTAATTTAATTTTTAATAGTCATATTGTATGTAAACCTAATGATTCAATAGGGGTGCAGTAAGTTTACAGTGACATATTTTGTAATTTTAAAGTTTGACATGGGAAAGAAGTGTTCACCTAACACTGAAAGCTTCCTAGTGGCCCTCTATCTCTGTGATATTTGGAATAATGCAAGATTATCATCAAAAATACAACACACTAAATTAATCAAAATTCTAAAAAAAGACTGGTAATTAAACTTTACTAAATTATTATGTCTAATTAGGTGATAGTCAGTGAATTTTCATTTAAAAGAAGAGGAAAAGAAAATATGTCATAACGGGATGAATATTGTAAACGTTGGAACTTTCAGAAACGTTTTTCGAATTGTTATTATTTATACTTTTTGTTTTAATAATTACTAAGTAACTGGATCACTATGTCTGCAAATTCAGTTTATCATAAATTTGTGTTTAATTAAATAACTGTTAGTACACTGTGTTGACAATTTCTAATTTATTGCCAATCGATTAATCACAGTCACTTTTGACTTGTATATGTATAACTAAGATTTTCTATTTTATAGTGTCATGTGGTCCACTATGTTCGTATATAAACCCATGGGTTTGAAATAAATAAAAAATTACCTTAACATTATCCACAAGTACATGATGATGACAAATTAGACGTCGTGGCAATGGCAGATTGACAGCCATTAATAAAGCAGGCCAGAGAACTGCATGGAATCTATTGACAAACGAAAATTTGTGGAGAAGAAAAGAATAAACTGGTTTTATTGATTAACAGTACTACAATAGATACTATTAGGTTAGTAATAGATACGTTTTGTAATGTCTCAAACTATCTCTCCACACAAGAAAGTAAGAACTTTGGTAGCATTTGGTATTTGGTTAGTAGTGAAATACAGGACATGAGTTCTTTTTCTACTTGGGAACCATCAGTTGGGTGTTCTTGCCACACCCGTGTTAATATTACACATTGGGAACCCAGCACCTTTCTGTTGGGGAGACCCAAAATATTCCTCGAAAGAAACCCAGAGGAGGCCCTGGAAACGGTAGGAAACATTTTATTCAATCAGCATTGAATAGAAGTCTCTCAGAAACATATAGAAAGTGAAGAGTCACGAGTTACGTTGACTACTTATCCTGCTACTATGTTTAGTAGGGTTCCAGAAACCTAAGGCCATATGAAATGCTATAAATACCCTGAATTTTCTGTACATAAACGAACCTTGGAGTAAAGCGTTTTTTACACATTTTGCGCCTTTTCTCTCGTGTTCAATTTGCCGTGTAGATCTAGTTTAGGGTTATAGAAGAGCTTAGGAAACCAATTTAAGTGTTCAGTTAGAAGATTTATCACTTTAGATCGAAACATCCCACGCGATATCATTCGCTAATGAGTCCAGATGGCCACAAAATTTAGTTTTCTGAATACCAATAGCACAGTAGGAAATGTCTACACAGAAATTCATTTTGTTTAAAAGAAAAAATACATTTCAATGACTAAATAACCAGTAAACACATAAATTTAAATGACTGGTATTGTTACCCTGCAATCTCTTACAAAAGATCGTAGAAAATTACCTAGAAATCTGGCACTCTGTTAATACAAGCTTTTTAGGAAAAACAAAAATATATGATAACGGATATACTGATGAAAAGGTACCTACCTACACTCAAATATGAGTTCAACTTTATATGCGGCTATGCAAAATATACTACAGGCATATTACAAAGGGTCATTGAACTACTAACTGGTATGAAGAAGGTGAAAATATGTTACGCTGCTTAGTCCACGATAGTGATTGCGGGGGTACTAATAATTTCTTTTCTAATTGTCAAGCTTATATACTGAATACTGAGGAACACTATTCGTAGTTATTAAACGGTTGGAGGCATTTATAACGGAACAATTCTTAATTCGTTCTACGCAATAATAGCAAGCCACACCTATCAAACATTTAAAAAGTCTTGCAGTATTTCCACCACCCACTTAATACAGTATGACAACTAGGCTTGATCCAAACTTTTCCCAGGCTCTTTATGTTGACAATGACTGACTGGACTCGTAGAGACCTTGGAGAGTACACAACAGGTCGACATCTTTAAAAAAGCCAAACAGAACTCAAGTTATCTCGCCAAGAATATAGATGGCCAACAAATAGAATACTTTTTTCAAGCACATATGAGAGTTCAAATTACTTAAAACAAAACAAGTATATTAGCTTTCTTAGAAAAGTCATTAAACAAGCAATGTAAATAAAATTCTACATAACCATTTTAATTATGAAAACATGAGAAGGTATAAAGGTACTTACAGATAATAATAATAATAATAATAATAATAATAATAATAATAATAATAATAATAATTAATAAATAAATAAATAATACTAACCGTATTATATCTTTTCCCAAAAATTGTACATCTGGTGGCCAGATAGAGTGTTTAAAACTACCATCATTAACATTTGACCATGGGAAGCCTGTAACTGTTAAGTAGTTAATCAGAGCATCGAACCATACGTAAATCTATTTTTTAAAAAAACAGAAGAATTATAGGAAAAAAAACACTGGAAACTAACAAATTCTAAGCAACCATTTATAATATAAATACATTTCGCTATAAAATGTAAACTGTTGCTTTAAGATTGATCAGTGTCAACGCCTAAACTAATAATAAGGAGCAAACTAGTTAAGCGAGTTGACAAATTAACTTATCCCAAAACATCTTAATCATGAAGCATAAAAGTCTTAAGGGTTGGATTTAAATCAGGTTCGAGGTTGTGTACTGTTGGACAGTCCCGTACTAGGACGAAACACCTGTCCAGTGCCAACTTAAAATTCAATGGTTCCCCAGTAGATATTAGTCAGTGATGAAATCCAACTTTAAATAACCACAGTAGTTTTTACTGACCAGACGGAAGTAAATGGAGCAGAGTTTGAACTATCAACCGACTTGTTGAAAAGTAAAATGTCTTAAGCATAGTTAGTAAATAGAAAAAATTAAGCCAAAATATGAGAAAAAAAGGAAGATAAATCAATTTCGGAGGAGAGAAAAACATGTTTATATTTCTGTAAGAACCTGGCGAACTTTGAGATGGAACAAGTAAGAAATTCAAAAAAGTACGGAAAACCTCGTTGTCTTTTACAGATAGAACTTACAATTTGTTCATTATCACCAGGAACATGTATACCCCAATCTGAACGACTTTTTGGTCTTGAAATAGATATATCTTGAGAAGTATCCACCATATTATGTGCTATATCACTCCAAACTAATTGATTGGATGACTTGGGAAATACTATTTCAAAATAATTAAAAACGTATAAAATTGAAAAAAACCACATAATAAAAAATAAAAGTATATTATATTATTTATGAAAAGAAATTTAAGTGTGAAATATTTTATAATCCTTATAACTCGTGCTACGAACTAGAGTTGATGAAATATATATTAGCCGTTAAAAGGTTCATGTTCGATTCACGCACAAGTTTCAGCTGACAAAACATTGCAAACTCTCCCTCTTTCTCTGCGTTCATGTAGTTTTTAATTGCGAAAGTAAACAAGTTATTGAATTTGAATTAGTAAGCAGGATGGCTTACCCCACACCACCCCAAAAACGTTGGGGAACCTGGATTCGGTGCAAAATAACAATCAATCCAAATACGCTACGGCTTTTTCAAGTGAAAAAAGTACGAGTATATACTGGTTACAAAATGTGGAAAAACTGAGATTTTTAACACTTTTCAGGAACAGAGACAGCTTTAAAGCTGTTACAAGACTTATGAAGAAATGACTACTTTGCTTAAATGAAACTAGACCCCTTACTTTTTTAAACGTAATCAAACACACCGGAAATTTATGAAACAATGTGCTATTTTTAAAATCGAATTTTTCTAATCTCTCTTGTGGTCTACAAAAAGCCAACAGAATAGAGCTCGATATGCAGTGTTTTGGAAACTAAATGCTCAAACGACTCTGTAGATAGAACATGTTTTATGCAAGGGAGACAATTAAGTAGATAAGGTTGGGAATTCGCAATCGACAGAGATAGATTGAGCATGCATAACTCATAATAAGCTATAGTTTACTTTGATGTGCGATGTTCACTGGTGTAGTAAAAAATCTCTAAATGACCAAACATAGATATACAACGAAGTAGGAAACCCACTGACAGTTGGTTGGTATCATGAAGACAAACAAGAGTTTCCTTGTATGGTAGGAAACAATATGTGAGAATTATGAGCACCACAGCTTAAAATTAACCACAGAACCCTAAATATACTCTTTGTTAAGTATAATAAATACATTAACTCAAATCTATACACCTTGAGTACTTGTTTATTTTTCTAGATCTCATTATCTCAATTCTTTTGCTATTATCGAATTTTATTATCATTTATTTTAACACATAGGTATTGGTACAAAGAGGGACCAAATACATATGCGCCACACAAATCTCAATTGATATGTGTGAGGGCTGTGATACTGTCCGGGTGCCCAAACCGAAGCAGATGGTTCTCTGGGGGGGGCCACACCCCGAGCCTTTGACCTAAATGTCTAGTACAGAAGGCAGTGGAGCATCGTAAGGAGATGCAGTCCCATGGAAGCCGGTGACCAAGAAATTGGTTCATACGCCATTTGTTCCTTCAGGATACTGGAGTTCATGTGCACCATTGGTTTGGGATCCGGTAATAGCGCCGGACATTCGCTTTCCATCCTCTCATTTTCGTAAGCAACATCCCCGCCACGAGAAGGCAGTGAGTAGGACTTCCCTGGCAGACGCTGTATACGCGTGGCCATGTGAGAGCATTTGGAGAGGGAGAGCGGACTCTCCTCACTCTCGGCCATACCAGGGCATCTTACGCAATTATATTTTACAGCCACATCAACTGATTTGTCACCGCTTCGGAGCACTCCACGCGTAATATAAATACCATTGCACTTACACTCACAGTATAATACTTAATTCAGCAATAAGCAACAGAAGAACACTGTACCCATAATTTCAACGAAGAAATCATTGTGATAAGATCTTATATAAGAGAACGGGTAGTTTATAAGTTAACCAAATACAATAAGTTTGTTACACAATAAAAACATCAAAACTATATTTTTTAGAAGTTATCCTTGTGTAATAGAAACAGTGATAAAACACTTCAACAAAACGTTTACCTCCTGAATCTAGCCATTTGTGTAAATCATTTTTAAATGAAGACAGTTTAAACATGTAATTCTCCTCTTCAATCCATTCCACTGGATTACCAGTTTCTTTTGACACAGGTACTCCTGATAAGCTGGTTTCATCAATTTCCCATGGCGTATAAAATGCTTCATCTGAAATACAATACCAACCAGAATATTTGCTTCGATAAAGATTACCACTAGCGTTTAAACGCTTCTACAATGAAAGAAAATATTGCGGGGAATATATATATATATATATATATATATATATATATATATATATATATATAGAGAGAGAGAGAGAGAGAGAGACGTTCAACTCCTAACCAGTAATTTGCGGTTTTGATTCCCGCATCAACCATTTTAACTTGGGCAACAAGGTAGTATCACTAGCCCTCATCCACAAAGTATACAAATCTGTACTTGGTGAGCTATATCACATATTATACAAGAAACATGCATTTTAAAACAAATTTTAAAATAGAAAAACTCACCCAAAATTCACAAACAGCTTTCATATGTCTAGTTTCAGTAGTACGGATGAAATCATTGTATTTTACATGAGTAGCATGACAAAGAGTCTAAAATCAAAACATGAGTTAAAAATTGACCTACCTACATAACAAGTTGAGAACAATAACTGTGTTTATTTTACTGTTTCCAACTAAAGAAAAATATATCTCTCCCTAATAACTGAATAATTTTTTAACTACATACATATACCCATAATTTCTTCTGAATTTCATGTTTTGTAAGAAACTATGTATAATTCATTCGAACAGAGGACAAACACCTCACTTGATCGAATAACAAGTTAAATAAAGGTAGAAAATTGTAGTTGCTAACTAAAAAAACTGACAGAAATATCTATTTAACATCGTAGTTACACATGTTAAATAACACTAGAATAAGGTTTTTCTAGTATATGAAAATGACACTAAGAAATATACCGTAAGAGTAGGATAAACAAATGAACTAAGCATTAAATGTGACAGTAATAGTACTAAATGAAATAAATCAGAAAGAAAAAAATACCAATGAAGACATCCACCCTGTTTAATTCATTACATAAAATGCATGTTAGGAAAAAATTAAACGAATTAAAGTGACTCAGAATGTCGCTCCGATATTCATTTCAATGACTGTTCAATGAAGACAAAAAAGTCAACAGAACAGACTGAAACTCGGCTCCATTTTCATCACAGTCACATACACACACGCACATTCAAATATATGCTTTATAAAACAATAAAAACTTTAAAATAATAGAAACATGTTTTTAACAATGGAAACAGGTCAATTTTCCAAAAACATTTGTACCGATAGGATTTTATCCGTCTTCATAATTCACGGACTAAATATCAAGACAGAGTCCGACCATCAACTAAAAATTTCCAATATTTTCGTGACTTAAATACTAGAAAAATGTGACATGGTCTGACGTTAAAACACTAAGCATATATCACATGTGAGGACAGTCAATCATAAGCAACCTACAAACTGGTGCGTATGTACGTCAGTTCAAGTTGCCATATCTCATTAGCACAATGAGATGAAATTGTCGGAGCAAATCCCAAAATAGTAACGGTAGTAACAGCATTAGTGTTAGTAGAATAGATTAGGCATCGAAAATACGACTTGAGATAAATTGGTGAACTAATAAGATAAATTTATGAGGAATTTAGAAACTTAGGAGGGCAACGATTGTGAGCCATGTCACCCAAAGTCTCTAACCATTAGTCACAATAATCACACTGACCCCTACCAGGTAGATCTACGCCTATTAACATGGCTCAGTTCACATATTATCGAAAATTTCGAACTCTGTTCGCCTAAATTTTCGGGATTTTGAAATATCTTATCAAGAGGACGAGTAGTGCTACAGAGTTTATCAGTACAACATGTTCATATTTTTATCATGATTGATCTCGTCCGTCTTATGCACAAAAGAATACATTCACCAACATTTACAGATACTCACATTTCACAACCAGTTTTCACTGGTAAATACAGGCACAGACATGAATACACATCTTTAAAATGGTTTAAAAAATGAATACCTCAAACAAAGGACTCATTCGATCACAATACTGCAATGGATCAAGATTATTGACAGTTGCAGCACGGCGAACCTGAAAATGAAAAAGATGTGTGCAGAGACACTTCATTCAATATCAACTGGATGGAAATAAGAAAGCTACACAGTTCGCCCATATAAGCAGAAACAGAAAAAAACAGCAGACCGGGGAATAACACTCGAGTTGTTCCGATAATTTAGTCAACTATTCCATTCTACAATAAAACAACCTAGTACTTCTTGTCTTGTCTTGATGCTGAAGGATATGGTACAAGAATATATCCGTATAAGGGTTTAGGTTGATCCTGTTCATATTAGTGAAACGTAAGCGTTTACCGACAAACTGACATAAACCATGGGACTCCGCAGAAGTGAGCATTTGCCACCCTACTGAAGATCAAAGCCAGCACTTTCAGGTTTCCATAGATTGGGGATCCAGACGCGTACTGCTGAAAAATCCTATACTAGAACGAAACTATTATTCAGTGTCTTCTGGTTCTCAATAATTGTGCGAAAATAGGGTCAGCTCGTGATATAAACCGTAAAAAGACGAAAAATCTTTAGACACTTCATACTAAAGATATAATATAATTGTTAAGTTTCGTTTTCAGTGCTAAATGTTAACATTGTGGCGAGTATAAGTTCAATTGACACCTAAAAATTATTAATGTTGTTAAGAGAAATGGAAAGATAAATATGAATGATTTGCCTATATATTTTAAACGGATACTTACCATTAGGCGTTTTTTTATTTGTAGACCGCTTTCATGATAAACTATTTTTGACTTATTGTTGCATCTTCAACTGATTACAAATAAACCGGTAGATAAGTTGTGCACTTTTTTCACAGAGGTAGATCAATGGTTAAGGCATTCGACTATCAGACAATAAGTTGCAGATTTGAAACATGCTCCATCTACTTCAATTTGGGTAACCGGGTATTATCACCAGTCTTTACACTTAGAGTGTAACTCATAGCTAAGTACATGAATCTATACCTGGTAACTAGGCTAATAAATAACTCTTTTATTGTAAAAGTACTTTAGCTATTTGTACGTCTTAGTCTTGTATTTTACTTGTATATACAAGTGAGCTACAAGTTATCATAATAAAAGTCACCGGTAGCTATATATCTGGCCTTTTGACATTTCAACTGCAGAGTTGGAAAGATGGAAATAGCCAGTGTATCCGTTATAGTAAATGAGTAGAGTTGAGGAGATTATCGTGATAAAGCGTAAAAAGCAAACCAAACAAGTTTTAAAAACAAGGATGAAGCATGAAGTGAATTTCACAGACGACTCACTTTGGATCCATGTTCATCTGTCCCACAAGACAAAAACGTTTTATTGAGGTTGCAGTAATCAAACACAGGAGAATAAGTGAATGCAATATAATCTTGTTGGAAAGGCTTCAGTATTGACTGATTACGCAAACAACTATATCTTGCCCAAGCGTCAGCTAAACATGTGGTATATGCATGACCCAAATGAGGTTCTAAAAATTGGAAGAGATATTTGAATTGAGTGAAAATCCCAGAAAATTTATGTGGGTAGGAGAGAAACTCGAATGAATTACTATCAAACTATCTAGATGATACTTGGAGTACAAATGAAAACGAAACTTATAACTTCCTGTTGCGATCTAGATAACTCATACAGCTACTGAAGACATATGAGCTGTCCTCCAAATAATCTTCAAGAAAATAAACTTATTTGCTTGTACGTTTTAGGCGGATTGTGTCGAATAAGAACCTTAAACTGATGAGGTAAAATAAAAGGCCGTTATTCTATAAAATAACTATTAGAATTGGTTGTAAAAGTCAATGAAAACTACCTGGTTATAAATAGTAAATATATCACAACAGATAACAGAAAAACTTAAACGACATAGACCAAACTCGATGCTACTTTAATAAAAACAACAACTCTTGATATTATATGAAATTTAGAACTTATTACATTATTCTCTGAATGATGCCTTTTTGCTTCGCTTTTTTATTCCTCACAATAGCTTTCTCACGTTATACTCTAACAAGATTTGATCGAATGAATGGTATGCAAAATTATTTTTATGGCTTATTGTACTAGAAAAATGTAATTTAATACAAGCATAGGCAGCAGATTTACAGCTTTTCAAACAGAAATAATGCTAACAGTTAACATCAGTAAAATGTCGACAATATTTTACATTTGTCCTATGAACGACGAGTAGTTTCGAAGATCCTTAACATTTAATCATCTCAGTTAAGAGAAAACATAAGACAAGTTTTTCGACTTACATGCAAACCGTATTATGTGGCCATATATTAAAAACACATCTGTAAAGTGTGTATGGACATCTAGAGTTTACACCTAATGCTATTTCTAAGTGACAAACTCTCATGGTACAGAAGATCTTTCAGGAAATTTGGAGATAAATGCTCAAACCATCTCACCAGCCGATGGACACGGAAGTAAAGGACCAGGCACTAATGTCATACATTACACTAATTGATATGGTGACAATTGAGACTGATGAAATACTTAAAAACCCCACCGAGGACGAAACTACATCATTACAACCGACCAATTGCACTTAGTGTAAATTGGAAATAAGTATTCATTTACAATTTGTCTATTTTTATTATGACCGTTCATCAATCACTGTGAAAAGATAAAGAAAAACGCCGTTATCTCACAATAATTTCGTTATGATTAATGGAATAAAGCGTTAGAAAATAACTTTTTCTTACCAGAGCGCTATGATACCTATACTTTAGTCACTCATAGAACACAATTATGGGTTACCCACAGTAGAGAAGCCTATCTATACACTACTAGACAGTATTTCCAAACAGAAAAACTGGTTATGCTATGAAGACGTCTAGTACTTCTTATCACTCCTGTTAACAACAATCCACGTAATAGGTGTTTTGAACTATGAGGAAGTTTAAGACAAAGTGAGCACTTCAGGTACATCTCCGTACCACATGCATTTTACACATACATATATGCTCAAAAGACACTCGTTCCATAAAAGTAAAACTCTTGGTCCCTAAATTGAACTACAATTTGTAATGGATATATATCGCCTTCATATCAACACAAATAGCATTCCAAAAATCTGCCCCTTAATGTTGAATTATATACAGGTGGAAGCAGTCCATCTAGTTATAAGAACTGGTTAGAATGCTTATGAAAAGTTCATAATCTATCTAATAACTTACTTGCATTGACGTAAAATATTGGACACGTAACAAAAAAAGGCTTCTCAGAACGAGTAGATGCAAAACATCGTGAATGATTACCAGCAGCCGTTCGGAGCAAAGGTCGAGAAAACTAATCCCAAAACAATAAATAAAGTAAACTAGTCCTTACAAAGAATAAAAAAAATGTGTTGGCATTTAATTTTTATTTGTAGAAATGACAGTACAAAACAAGTGTTTCACATAAATGTATACGCGAGAGCACAAGAAAAACAGCATATTTAACAAACGCATACAGTTATCATCAATAGTTAATTATAAGTATCCTAATACTATATGGATATAACACTCACAAAACACATTCAGCTTGTTTGGAACGATCTACTCGAA